GACAGGAAAGCAGGCTAATGCTTGCCTTGTCTTCCTGCTTGCATTAACAGAATGGGCCTTGGTGACCCCATTGGACAAATACAATTGAGTCCTTAGCTGCAAAGGAGTCAGAACAAGAAGGTGCCTCTGAGAGCATGGAGCTGATGGTTCTCATGACCATCAGAAGTCACGCCCCTTTCTTATAACAGTTAACAGCCCCATTACTCTCTTGAGGTAAAGTAGGTACATACAAGCTTTCAGCTACAAGCTACAAAAGAGCTTTCAACACAAATAATAAGCTGTCCTAACTATAAATACAAAAGAATGCTACAATACAATGTGTGCCATCAACACGCCTATGCTAGATAGTGTAAGAAAACAGTTAGGGGGCTGGGGATTTAGCTCAGTGGCATAAGCGCCTGCCTTGCAAGCAGGCAGTCGTGAGTTCGATCCCTGGTACTGATAAAAACGAAAATGACAAAAACAAAAACAAAAACAAAAAAACAACAGTTAGGCAGCTCTCCCTATTTACCATGGGATGGGTACAAGTTTGCAGAGTTGTTAATGGAGAGCTAAAGGTACATGTGACATTTTGTACCCCACTGGACAAGAATCATGAACATAACACAACAGCTACAGTGCCAGGAGCCCAGGGAGATTGGTGATACAATTGTTGCAAACAGCATGGCTGCTCCTGCCACTTTCCTGAAGTGGTGGAGGCTTGGGAAGATTCCAGCTGAGTGGTGAGGATCTGGGAACCTGGTCACCAAGGAGAAGCTGCTCCTGCTGGCTGCTAATTGCCCAGAATTGTTCCTAGGTGAGGAGGATACAGCAACACTATGCTGGCGGCTGGCAGTACCCCTCACTTACCGGACAAGGCAAGGTCTCGGGGAGGAAGCCCACAGCTGGCAGATGATGACAGCCAGGGTGGAGGCTGAGAAAAGGGCCACAGGCGGGAGAAGTGACCCAAAGGTTCCCAGAGAACCAGGAACCAGGGAGGCCACAGTGAGGCTAATGGAGCGCTGCTTGGAGACCTCAGAGCCCGCTGCCCTGCTTCTGAGAACTCTGGGCCCAGCCTCGTCCCCATGAGCCCTGGGCACGCTCAGCCCCAAGAGCCTAGGGCTGGGTACCGAGCTGGGTCTTCAGAGCCTGGCCTGGGTTGTTTCCACGTGTGTCTTTATGGTGAGCCTTGCTGCTGAGTCGCAGTTCCTCTGTGCTGCTCAACCACAGAGGCTGTCTCCAGGGTCTGTGTCTGGAACTGAACTCGGGAGCCTGTCTGTCCCCTCATCATTGGCCAAAGAAGAAGAAGATGAGGAATGCTTGCACAGAGTCCTCTTGGTTCTGTGCCTTCTCTATGAAGTTCGCTTGGGTCAGTACTCACAAGCCATGAGAGAGGTGTTTAGCCTTGTGGTCTCCAGGTCACAGATAAGGAAGAGGGACAGAGAGGTTCTGCAGTTCTCCCAAAGGCACACAGCAAGTAGTAATGCGCAGGAGGGATCTGCTTAGTCTTACTGTCCTCAATCCCTTGACCGTACTGTCTCTAACCACTGACCAACACTGTCTCTCAATTAAACAAGTGACTAAACTTCATCCTGCTGTAACTGAAGGATACACCCTCTTGCTTCTTGATCACTATCAGACTCTGGCCCTGCAGGAGACAAAGCTTGCACCTGCCCTGGAGCTAAGAGAAAGTTTTTGGAGATTTTGGAGTCCTAGCTCTCTCTTCCCTGACTGTGTGACTTTAGCAGTTGACTTGCCCTCTCTGAGTCTCCTAGAGGCCTGCAGGACTGAATGGGATAAAGCATGGTGTACTTTCAGAGAACAGATGGTTATTATGGCCTTTAGGTCAGAGTCACCTGGATACCAGTGACTACCTAAAGCTGCTGTGGATCTGGGGTACAGCTGGCCCCCACCTCTAGCAGCCCCAAGCCCAGGGCCCATGTGTGGTCTGAGGAAGGGAGCATGCTGACACACACTGCACACAGCCTCCACTCTCCAGAAGCCTGTCTTGGGCCATCTTGGTGTCGCTTGGTGCTAGGAGTGCATAGTAGGTGCTCAATAAACACCAGGAGCAAGAGTATCACTTGGAGCAAGAGTATCACTCTCAACAGCCCATGAACAAGGAAAAAGGAGCTCTGGAGCCAATCCTGAGTGTGGCAAAAGCCAAGGCACTAAGGCAATGAACATCATCCTCTGGGCCTCAGTTTCCCTCTTGCACACCAGAATCATTATCACAGGTCTGTGCTCTTGGCTCTGCAGCAGCTCTGGTACCAGCTATTATTATTACTGTTGCTGTGGCAACTACTATTTTTGCTGTGCTTTTCTTTCCACTCTGTTTCTGGGGCTCGCTGCCCCGGCGGGTGTGTCAGAGTGGGCTCAGGCTCGAGTGTTCCGGAGCTGGTACTCAGGCATCGGTCTCAGCCCTACTTCTGCTTATCCATGTGGCCCTGGATAGGGCCTCCCGCCTCTCCGAGCTTCAGTTTGCTCATCTGTTAATCAGACTGAGAGCCAGGCCTTCCTCCTGATAGATTCAGTGGGATTTGGTGCAATGGGGTTTGAAATGAGACATGAGACAGAGGAAGGCGACAGAGAGGGGGCTGCTGTCCCCACACAGAGGAGGGCAGGCCCTGCCCTGACCCATTTGGGTCCAAGGCCAGTTCTAACCCATTTGGGTCCACCCCACCACAAGCACCAGAGTCGCGGTGATTTCTGAGCTGTACCGCCTTTTGAAAACATGCAGGCTAGAATGACTAAACACTGCCACAGTCTTTCCAGGTCCCCCCACCCAGCCTCCCACATACCAGCTGCCTGAGCAGGGGGGGGGGGCGGGGGGACTGCAGGTAGCTGAGTGACAGGGAACAGAAGCAGAGGGACATGGAGGAGGCGGGCGGGGCTGATCCCCACTGTGCTGGCGGAAATCAGCCGTCCCCACAGTCAGTCGGGAGGGACACCCTCTACTTCCCTTTCTGAGGCAGGAGGGACCCTCCAAGCCTGGCATTGCCATGGCGACCCCACGCATCTTCCCAGCCTGGCAAGGCTGCAGAGGCTCAGAGCAGCCATCAGAGGTGGGAGAAGGGGTGGGATGACCCCCAGCCAAGGCCACAGAAGACCTCTGGGCCCCGGGACAGAAGGGGCTGCACTGCCACGGCTCAGCCTGCCCTCTGCACACCTCCCTGCCGGCCTCCTGGAGCCCCTTCCTGGCCCTGCAGAGAAAAGTTAAAGCCCTGACCAGCCTGGCTCTGCTCCCATCCACCCACTTTCTCCCTTCTCTTGCTGACTGCATTCTGGACCAACCGCAGTCTTTGCCAGCTCCCCGTCGCCCAGGTACATTCCTGCCTCAGCCTGCCTGCAACACGTATGTCCATTCATATCCAGCCTCAAGGTCGCTTCTTCAGGGGAGCGTTCCCTTCCCCCCCCCCCCCCGACTTCCACCTCTGCACCCCAACTGCTTGTTCTCCTTGGTGCTCACTACCTGCCCCTTATACTCAGAATTCACTTGCTCACACATTTTTTTTCTCCTGTAAAAAGCGAGACCTTGACTTCATGCTGTGTTCCCAGGCCTTGAATAGGACATAGCTTTTGCAGCATAAATTAATGACAGTAGAGAGACTGAGGGAGACGTGGTGGATGGACAGGTGAATGGAAGAAAGGAAGGGTGGATAAAGGGACGGATGAATTAATGGATGGAAGGGCAGAGGCAGCTCGGACAGAGAAATGGACTGAAGGAAGAGCTAGCTGATGGATGAATGGATGGAAGGATGGAGAGGCGGTGGATAGAGGTAGGGATGGATGAACCAATGGGAAAGGGTAGGTGAGTGGACGGGCGGCTGGCTGGCTGGCTGATGGGTGGCGGGGTTGGATGGCGAGGGGTATGAAGGTGGGTGGGCAGGTGGATACAGACTGGCAGGAGAGCTGACCGGGCAGCAGCGACGCAGTGGCCCCGGCTGCCGGGCTCGGAGGGTGAAGCTCAGCACCGTGTCTGGGCCCGGAGCCCTCGGCGCCCGCCTCCTCCGGCCTGTGCCCGCCCAGCCCGGCCCCAGGAAGGAACAGGGAGCACCGTGGCAGGTGGGGACTGACCCCGGCTTTATTAAGCAGGCCCGGGAGGGCCGCAGCCCGAGCCCTGAGCCCCCGAGGCCCATGTCTTCAGCTGCTGAGGAAGCAGCCCCTCTTGTGCCACTTCTGGTCGCGGACGCGGCGCACGGACTGCAGCTGCGGCTGCCCGGCGGCCCACTCGTTCCAGTGCCGGTACTCGCCGCGCTCGAAGGCGAACTGGCGGCCGCGGTAGCCGGGGAACTCGTAGCCGACCCACCTGCGGGCCAGGGCGGCGCGTGAGAGGCGCGGTGCCTCCCTCCAGCGCCACCTCCGACCGCGCCGCGTCCTCCGCCCGCCGCCCGCGGGCTCCCCCCGGCTCCCGGGCGCCCCGCTCGGCCTGGGCCTCAGCCTTCGCAGGCGCTGTTCCTTCGGCTGGAATATGGCATCTCTGTCTGTCTGTCTGTCTCTGTCTCTGTCTCTGTGTGTGTCTCTCTCTGTCTTTCCCTAGTACTGGGAGGTTGAACCTAGGGACTTCACGCTGAGCTACGTATCCAGACCTTTTTACTTTTGAGTCAGAGTCTCACTAAACTGTCCAGGCTGGAATTGTAATCCTTCTGCCTCAGCTTCCTATAGTGCTGGGATTACTGGTGTGCACTAGCACACCAGGTTTAAAAGCTAAAAGTTCTTGGAGTCAAGGCTACCTAGAACTCCCAAGGCTGTGCGAGGCAGTCAGCTGGGCAGCTGCCTCATGGGGGATGCCTGGTCGGATCTGCCAGGTCCCAGACATCGCCTAAGTCATTAATAAGAAAGCAGAGCTGAAGACTCCCTTTGCAGAGGTGGCACGGCCCTGCGGGGCGGGGCGGAGCAAGAAGGGCGTGGCCAGGATGGGCGGAGCAAAGGGCGTGGTCAGGAGGGGGCGGGGCAGGGTTGAGGGGGGAGGGGCGGGGCCCTTACGTCCCGTTGATGGCGCGGACGCTGGCCACGCGGTCCTGGAAGCCGTGAGCCCACAGGCTGGGCACGTCGTCGTCCACGATCTCCATCTTGCGGCCGGTGAAGGAGGGGCTCTCGAACAGGTGCAGCTTGTGGTCAGGGCCGTCCTGGGAGCGACAGGGCGGTGAGCGCGCTGCTTCTGCACCAGGTACAGGCGCAGCAGCAAGTCACCCCAACTTTGGCAGCGGGAGGAACTCAGAGCCAGCCTTGTTGGGAAGCTTACGGCCACAGGGTGTGAAACCAAAAGGGACCTTAAAAATGTCGTTCAACCCTAGCCAGTAACAGACTAGAAAACAGGCCCAGAAAGTGTGGCAGGAGATAGAGTCTTAATTAAGACGGATGCCAGAGCACTTCCTCTAATCCTGGCACTCTGGGGGGATGAGGCAGGAAGATCTCAAGTTCAAGCCCAGTGTGGCTAACTTAATGACTTAGTGGGAAGTAGCTCAGTGCCAAGGCACTGGGTTCAGTCCCCACTACCAGGAAGAAAGTCCAGGCGTCCCCTCTTTACTAAGCAAGAGCCTGATTTCCTCTCGCTTTCCCTTTCCACAGCCCGCTGAGGAGGTCTGTTACAGGACACACAGAAAGGGCTGAAGCAGCCACTGGGTGTGAATGAAGTGGGTGGGTGACACTTTAAATGCTACAGTGGACTCTGTCCCTTTCCAGTGTTAGAGAAACTCCAGGGAAGAAGGGGCACTATTTCGAGGTTCCTTTGTGAAGTTAATTTACCTGGCTGCTTTCCTACGCCCCAGTGCAGATCTGAGATCAGACTGCAGCTGGTAATTTAACAGGGCTACAAAGGGAAGTCCCAGGGTCACCTGGGCTGATTCAAGATGGGAACCCTGGTGTCCACACCCCCATTTGAGTCCATTCAGTAGCTGACTTCTTGCACCATATGATCATTCAGGCCAGAGATGTGGGACCCTTCAGAGGCCAGGCCCACCAGGGTGCTTGTGAACCAGCTCTACATGCCCCACCCCTCCAGGGTTCCTGGAAGTGGGCAGGACCTCTACTCACAACTTGCAGAGGCCGAAGGGACAGCAGGCTGTCACTGTGGCGGCTGCTGGACCAGGCATCCCAGCGCGGGTAATCCCCCTTCTCCAGGACAAACTGCTCCCCACGGAAGGCCCTGCGTTCGAATGCCAGCCACCTGGGGGAGGTAGAGGCCGGATCACCACATGGCAGCTGGGGAACTCAGATCAAGGGAGGACAGGACCCAAGAGCTGCCGACTTCCACCCGGCACCCTCCCTGTCCCCAACTTGACCTGCCTCAGAGGAGCTACAGGGACCTACTAGGCACACAGGGGACCCTGGGCCCAAAAAATATCCAAGCAGATGTCATTGCGGATGGATTTGGGGTCCAGCCTCTGTGCAGGATGCTCTGAAAGGTCCCAGCAACACCAGACATGAAGTCAGGACTTAGGCAACTCCCCCACTCTCCATCACTCAGTTTGGCTTCACAAACTCCCTCTGACACAGTACCACCGTCACCCCCACTGGACAGGGAAAAGAGGCCCAGGGAGTGCATAGCTTGCACAAGACCATGCAGATGGGGCCACCGCCTGCACTGCCCATCTGTTACCAGGGATGCAGAACCGGGCAGGGACCCCTGTTTGCCTGTGGGCACAGGAGGGGCACCAACACTTTGGCCTCACTTTCCTCATCTGTAAAAGGAAATAAGAATGGCATCTTTCTCACAGGATGAAGACTCATGCTACAATTCATGTTAAATTCCAGATGTTACTGCGTGTAATCCTACCACTCTGGGAGGCCGAGGCAGGAAGATCCCAAGTTTGACCTCAGCTTGGGCAATTTAGAACTTGCTTCAAAATTTTAAAAAACTAAAGAAAGGCCTGGGATGTGGCTCGTTTATAATTTCTCAAAATTATAAATATGAAATTCCATTTATATGTATGTTAGTTGACTATTCAAGGAGGTCTTTCTCTGCCATTTACCACGGAAATCAAGAGCTAGAAGGATGCTAGAAGAAATTACAATTCCACTCTCTCGTTAGCAGATGGGTAAACAGGCCAGAAAAGGAAGGGGAGTTACCTAAGGCTCCATGGCAAATTCTGAGCTGGAAGCAGGACCCCCGCCCCCCAGTCCCGGAAGACTCAGGCTGCGCAGGGCGGCGCGGCCGGCGCAGTACTCACGGTCCCGACTCCACCTGGATGGAGCCCACCTTCTCCAGCAGCCCGTCAGTCAGGTTGGGGCACTCGGCCGAGAGCTCGCATCGCTTGCCCTGGAAGTTCTCCAGCTCGTACACGGTCACCTGGAGGAGCAGCGTCCTGAACACCCCCGCCCGCCGGCCCCCAGCTGCAGCCCCCGCTGCTCTTTGGGTCTCCGCCCTCGAGGCGCCCGCGCTGCCCCCTGGTGGCCACGGGGACCGCCTGCAGGGCGCCTCCACTAAGCCAACAGACCAGAATCCCGGGCGCAGAGAGGCCTTGGTTATTAGAACTGCGCGCAGGGTCCCTGAGGATCAGGCCTATGGTCAGCAGGTCTGGAGGCTGCCTGCCTGCGCCTCCTCCTCTCTGCAGATGCTACCGGACTCCCTCAGAACCTGAACCTAGTGGCGAATGCCCATAATCCTAGTAATGAGGGAGGCTGAGGCAGGAAGATGTCCAGTTAGAACTCAGCTTGCACAACTTAGCAAGACTCTCTCTCTCTCTCAAAAAAAAAAAAAAAAAAAAAAAAAAAGGACAGAAAGAAAAAGAGGTGGGGAGGCGGCAGGGGATGTAGCTCAGCAGGTGAAGGCTCTAGGTTCAATCCCCAGTACCATAAAGGAAGAAAAACCTGCCCCTCCTTTCTCCTCGGACTCCTCCAAAGGGCCCCAGAGGCAGCCAGCTGCTGAGCTCTCCCACGGTGTCAGGGGCCCTGGGGTGTAGGCTGTTGAGGAACAGAGCGGATGAAACCCCCTGCCTAGGCGAGGCAGGTGGAGGGAGTGTGAAACTGGTGTCCTGACAGCCTCCTGCCTCTGGCTCCCCTGGGACTTGTAGGCAGGACACAGAGGGCAGATGCCAGAAGTGGCGAGGCAGGTCCTGGGCTGCTCCTTTTGGAGAGAGGCCGCCTGGTGGGAAGCTGCCTCTGAGCCCAGGCGCAGCTCCGGGCTTGGAGCCTCAGGTACCCACTCTGTCCAGTACCTTGTAGCCGCCCCCAAGGCCTCCGTGGCTCTTGCCAGCTGCAGCCTGCTCTGGTGCTCCGTGCTGTTCCGCCATCTCTCAGGAACACTCTGGCTTCAAACCAAAGGAAAATGGGTCATCAGGTCCATCCCAGCAGTCCCAGGTGTTGATGGAACAGAGGAAAAACTAAGAACCTTACTGCTTACTGGATATAATCATGACTCATGAACTACAATGATTATTCAGTCATTTAACAAACACCCAGACTGTGACAGTCAGTGGATCAGGAGCCCCATTTTACAGGAGCTGAGGCCCAGTAAAGTAAAGCCACTTTTCTGAGACACACAGTGAGGAAGAAGCCTCACATGGGCCTGGCCAAGTCCATGCTCTTTCCCCCATGTCCAACTGTTCCCCTCAAAATAGGGTCTTGGAGCCTTCTGCAGACATGTCCCCTTGGACCTAGGCCAGAATCTGGCTGTGGGGGTTTCTTTCTGGACACCTCTCCCACCTCCACATTCTAAGCAGGACTTTCCTAAATGTTGCCTGCATGGGCACATGGATGTGTGCGGTTCTATGGACACACACAGTGGTACACAAGGTACCTACGTCCCCACCCCACAGTCCCCTGTCCATGGCTTCCTGCACATCTGGCACACACAGCCATGGGGCTGTGCACAGCTGCCACCACTGGTCAGGTGTGGCCAGCCTCAGCCAAAACCGGCACTAGTCTGGCCGGTGAGGGCTCCCAGGGGACCCAGCGGGTCTCCAGTTTTCCCTCTTCCTCAGAGCTGCTCAGCCTTGAGGCTCTGACCTTAGCCACCCCCTGACACAGATACTGCAGCCCCCACCCAGCCCTGTGGATCCGGTGGCAGACTTGTGCCCTGTCACTTGGCCCCACCCTCAGGATCCCCATTAGCTGGGGGCCAGCCAAGTGCCCCCAGGAGGTCACCAAGCTCCTCCTGTCAGGGCAGCCCCGCCCCCAGCCCACCCATTTCCCCTGAGGAACCTGTGCTGCAGCCTCTGGACAGAACAGAGAGGAGCCGGAAGACGTCTGCACACTCGGCGGCCTCTCCCAGTGACTGTCCTTTTTATGGGCCTGTTCTGACAGCCCAGCACATCCTGGCCTGCTGAGGCAGCGCCCTGTCCCCCTGATTGTGTCCGGGCCACTTCACTCCAATAGCAGCCTCCGGAGGCCCCCGCCTGTCTCCTCAGCCTGGCCTCTGATGACTTCGCAGGCAGATGGCACTTGATCCTCCATGGGAGGCCGCAGTGTTGGGCAGGGACAGGGGGCATACAAACCTGCGGTGCCCCCCTTTGCCTTTCTCTGGCCTTTTAGTGCCACCATTTTCCTGTTGGGGTACACAGCACCCTTGCAAAGGCTCCAGTTCTTAACATGAAGGACCCCAGAATCCTTCCAGTTGGCTTGTTTTTGCCAAAGGGCCTCAATTTTCAGTCCAGCCACTGGAAACAGATCCAGGAAGTTTAACTTTTCCATGTGGATGGCATCCTTGATACTAGCTGTCTGCTGAAGACATACTCCATGCCAGACTCTGTACCAGTTTTAAGCATGATGTTTAATCCTCACCCAGACTCTTTAGGAGAGGGACTGTCATAACCTTCGTTTTATGGAGAAACTGTGTTCAGTCACTCATCCAGGGTCACACAGCTGAGGAGAGGACAGGCTGGCCTTTCCCAGGCCTGGGTCTTTAGCCTCAGTAGCAATCAAGTGATCACAGTGGTCAGCTTATTTATGACTAGTATGCAGACACTAAGGTCAGGCATTTGAAGTATCTGATAAAAGTAGTTTTCTCTGATGGGTATTTAATGAATGACTATTGAATGAACAAAAGGATGTGGGAGCCAAGGAGTAATCTGCAAAGGACAGATTCTCATGCTGTTACTTGCTGTGGGTGAAATCCTCAAGTCGGCCTAAACCCCTGGGGATGGGAGTCAGGTGACAGCTGCGCTCTGAATCCTGTGGCCCCAGCTCAGCTACTGAAGGACTCCCAGCTGCACTCCCATCCTGCTCCCCGCTGGAGCCAGTGAGCGATCATGGGAGCACAGAGCCAGGCTGGCCTCCATCTTGAAGCTTGGGATGCAGTCACCACCAGCCAGGCACCTGGGGAGGGTGGCTGGGGTGGGGACAGCGTGGCTGTCTCCCACTGTGTCCTTTCGGGTCCTGAGGACCTGCACGACCTCAGTACTTTTGTGTGTCTCAACCCGGTGACTGAGAGTTCTTGACCTCAGCACTGCTGGCATTGGGAGCCAGGTCCCGCTTTGTGGGGGCAGGCACAGCAGCACCCCTTGACCTCTCCTCACCTGTAGTGTCTGTAGCGTCTTCTCCCCCATGATCACCTCTGGAAGGCACAGTCCAACAGGCTGAGAACCCCTGCCTTGGCTCTTTACCCCCTCCCCCAACTCACCCCTCACTTCATAGCAAAGACAACTAAGACGCCCCCATCCAGGAGGTGGCAAAATGAGGGTTCAACCCCTTGTTCTGAACCTGCCATGTCTCCATGGCCTCCTGCATGGACGATCCCAGCTCCCTCCCATTGCAGACTCACAGCTCAGCACCGGGAGAGACTGATTCAGCGGCCGGCGAGGGCACTGGGCCCCCTGTCCCTGAGCCCCCATTCATTCACACAGACGCACCGATTCTCCAATGCAACTTGCGTCAAAGCTTTATTTGCTGTTTTCAGAGTCTGAATGCAACGTCTCTATACATGCAAAGGTCATCTCGTTTCACTGCAGTGTTTCCAACTGCTCTTCTGTGCATAAGAAATCTCTTTACAGTTACAAAATATAAAAGCACTTGTAGACACCCAATACTCTGAGGTCCAGGGAGCCCTCCCCCGTCTTTTGATTTTACATTAAAAATATAGGTTTTTCTAATTCTTAGTCACATGGTTAGATTCTTTCCAGCATCGGGTAAAGTGCCTCTTGTCTGCCTTCCGTTCAGAAGTCCTGGAGCTTGTGAATTCATAAGGCAACTGCAAGAACACTGCAGGGAGGAAGTTAGCTTTTTCCCCCACCACACAGCTCGAGTTCTTGTCCGTCATGACTCAAGTATCTGAGGACGAGCCTGGAAGGACAGTTGGGAAAATATATACTGTAGTTCCGCGCCCCCGCCCCCCCATCTTGCAAAACACTCGGGAATCATGGCCATCTGGGACTCATGTGACCTCTAGGATACCTGTGTGACTTAGGAAACAACACAGTACAAAACACCTTCCACACTGCAATGTGTTACTTTTGTGAGCCCCAAATGTTATAGGATCTATAAGGCAATGTGGGATGGGATCATCATTTAAAGGTTCAAAATCTTTAGATTGTGGCATAATTTTCAGCTGGCATGATGTCACCAGGGATTGTCACAGAGCAGCTAGTCCAAGTTATATTAGGTGTCTTGGCCCAGGGGAGAGGCAACTATTTATGGATGTTTCAGGGGGTGGGCAAGAAGGCAGGATGGGAGGTGGGGATTTGAAGGGTTCACCTGCCAGAAATCTTAGGCTGGTTTTCCAGAGCAGAGAGCTGGCTTTCTGCCCTTCTTCCTGCAGGAGCAAAACAAAAACAAAAACAAAACAAAACAGAAACCCTTCAAAAAACAAAAGAAGGAAAAGTCCAGAGAGTGATGGGGACCTGGACTGGTCATGACCCAGTGTGCTTATTCTGCTGGTGTAGACTCAGGCTTTCCAGAGCCTTGGCCTCCACGGGAGTGGTTCTTGGCACCTTCTCAGCACACAGCCAGGGTCCCCTACTCAGTATGGGACTCAGCCCAAGGTGGGTCCTCTCTGAGGTGAGGGGTAGGTCCTGCCTGAGTGGCTCTCTCTACCCTAACACTGTCCTTCACCCATGGGCTCACAGTCCTACGGAACCTTGGCCTCCAGGTTCCCACACCCAGAGTGGGGTAGGGAGCTCCCAGGCTGCAGACCCCTCTGTCACTTTAAAGACTGCTGTGGTTTAAACCTCCCAGTTGGGAGGTTAGAGGCTTTAGCTCTGCAGCCATGCCTCACTCCAGGGGCCAATCTGGGTGCATGAGGTAAATAACAGACAGCAAAGCTGTGAGTCAACAAGGTGGTTACCAGTCCCAGATGGAAGTGGCTGCAGCTATTTCTAGGCATAGCATGTTCAGGATTTTCCCAGATCCTTTCTCAGCCTCTAAGGTTCAGAACCTCAGGTTGATGCCTATTTCTGTTCTTATTCCTTAGCACTTTCCTGAAGTCAGCTGCACTTCTGGGGAGGTGGAGGAAGACAAATTTGTTTGGAGTTGTACGATCTGTAAGATCCTGTCATCTGACTGCCTTTTCCCTGATCCCAAACAACTTGAGGTGGTCTGGTCAGTTTCACTCTTAGCTCCCAAGGTTCTCAATTCAGTGAGGTCTCACTTTCACCAGCATTTCTCTGGTGGAGCTGAGTAATTTTGTCTAAAATTAATTTTTGAGGCTTTGCCATGTGTTATTAGGCAAGGGACCATGAAGGCAAAGACCGACCCACTGCAAAGGAAAGAGATACAAACTTAGCAAAAGGCCAGCTGTCTAAATGCTGATGGAACAGGGCAAGGAGAAGGTTGCACCTACAGAGGAATCTGCATTCTATATAAGACTCATTTGAGAAGAGATAGAGCTGCTGTGTGGGGCAGGTGACTTGACTGCACACAGGTGATTAAGGCACCTGAAGTTAGTTTAAAAAGACAGATTTCCAGAGGGGGCTTCAGGAAAACTTTGGAAGCTAGTGGGCAACCCACTGCTTAGCTCCAAAGAGCTCACCTAGTTTGGAGAAGGGGAAATGCACAACCCATTGGCCCAGCTTCCTGTCAAGAGCACCGGCCACTTCTCACTGCATCTGCACAGATCACAAACAGGACTCCAGGGTCATGAGGAACCTGTGCTAGAAGGGTTGCTTGCAACCCACTGTGACTGTCAGCTCTGTGCTGCTGGAGATGAGACGAGGATCTTCAGGGCTGGCTCTGGCTAAGGTTGAGTCAGTGGTTATGTCTGTAGCAAGCTGGAATTAAATAGATGTATTGCTAGTCAAGGTGTGAGAGGCTGGGCAAAAGATCCCCAGGCCAACCTCATTTGGACTGTTTTCTCTCTTTTCAGTTTGACTTGGGCTCAAATCTGACTCATTTACAGTTAAGCATTTTGTATGCTGCTATCCATACACACAGGTACCAAGGGACCCTTTCCATTTGGCAGAAAGAAAGAGATGAAATCAGGGTCCAGACACGCGGGAGGTGTTTTTGTGTGACTTAGCCACCACGTCAAGATTGGTGCAAAACGTGAAATGGACCTTCAAAAAAATCAACCAAAGCAGTACTGGAAGGATGAATCCCCAAATAGCTATAGAGAACAGAGAACACCTCAGGGATGATGAGAATACAAACTGTCACTGAGCAGGGCCAAACTGTCAAACACAGGCACAGGCCCACCAGCAGACAAAGTCCAGGCCACTCACTGTGGGGCCCCCACCACGTCCCCCAGTTGCTGTCCATGGTGCTGAACCACACCCCTAAGCAGCGTACAAGCATCTGTGTGAACCTGGAGAAATCCTCCACATCAGCCTCACAAGTAAGAAAGAAAGCAGACAGTAAAAGCAGATTAGGGAGATAAGATGGGGAGAGACGTGAAGAGTCTTGGAGATATAGCCAGAGAGAAGAGAGGAAAGTTTTAACACTACTTGCAAATGATGAATTTATCAAGAAAGACATTTCACCTCTCAGGAATGTACTTCACTGCCTGGCTGGTGCCATGCATGGATCCATCAGGACATTCAGCCCCATGGCCCTCTGCAGTCATGGGCTGCCCTGTGAACTGCCCGTGCCTCTCACCATTGGATGACTCTCTGACAAGGTTGGCACAAGTTTTGCAGCAACTCCAGCATGGCAGACAGGCAACCAGGTACATCTGAGATGTTTGCTGGCGCCTCGTGCTTTGGAAATGGAGGGGGATGGAGTTGAGGATTTGCAGAATAAAAGGACAGAGCAGAAGGTGTCTGGAGTCCCCAAAGGCCTCAGGAATCAGTTTATAGAAAAAGAGGCAGGAGGAGTCTTATACTTTGTCACCAAGTAGCCAGCACTCGTTGGAAGTCCTCGGCCTAAAGTTCCCCCCTAGAGAAAGGTTTTGACTAATTCCAGCATGTGAACAAAAACAAAACAAAAACTAAAAACCAACAACAGCAACAAAAACATATGGTCAGGCAGAACTGGAGGGGGGGCTCAAAGAGAAAACAAAAAAGAAAAAGGACCTCTCACTCAAGCATTTGTTCTGAGGCTGATTAGAAAGGCTGCTGTATTCCAGCAACCTGGGCTTTGTTCAAAACAGGCTGCAGAAGATGCCCAGCGCAGGTCTGGTGTTTGACAAAGGTACCCATCTGAGCTGTACTCATGACCCTTGAGGTCAGAGGACAAAGGCCACCCCATGGGAATCAGAGCTGACGTGGGAAAGAAGGAGGGAGGATATATACAGGGAACAGTTCTATGTAAAAAGCTTGGATAGACACAAGATAACCTGAGGTTGGATACTTCAAAACATACTATTCACACACCTGTCCTTTAATGTAAAAACATATATACATATCAAGTTTCAAAGAAAATTGGCTAAGTTATTGCTTTACCACCTCCTAAAGCAAACAAAAAGGATGTCAGCTATACACATGGCCCAACTAGAAGGAGAAATACACTGAAAAGAACCAGGGAGGGTTTGTTTAATAACTGGAAATGCTGATTCCTCATGAAGAAAAACCAATCTGTCAAAGCAATCAAAACTCCCAACGCCATGGTCGTGCCTTGGAACAAGATGACGGCAGCAAATGAATGTTTGAACTTTCTTAGAAATGTCCTTTCCCGGGGAGAAGACTGAGCAGAGAGTCTCCCAATTCAGATGTTTTTCAGAACCGAGGCAGAGAATCCAGCCTTGCGCCAATGTTCCTAGAAGGTGCAGAAAGTGGCTAGAAATGCAGACTCTAATGTAAAAAGCAAAACTCCCGGCAGGGGCATTTCTGGGCAGCCTGGCTTCTTTCCCAGCCGGAAGTGTTGTCTTGGAGCAGAGCAGGTCCTCTCGGAGGGGAGGCCTTCCTGTGGGATCCGGGCTTTGGAGAGAAGTCTCTGTCCCCAGGGGGCCCAGGCACGTGAGCACGGTGAGGGAGGGAGGGCAGCAGCTTGGCCTCTCTGTGGCTCAGGACGGTCTAATGTTAAGGCTTCTGATAATTAGATGTGGTGCTGTCTCCTGCCTAGAGAAGGAGGAAGAGTGCTGGTGTCAGCAGGGGGAACATTTGGCCCCGCCTGGCTCCCTCACCAGCCCTTCCAACCTTTTCTAGGGACCGGAGGCACAGTCCAGCGATGGGGAACACAGCTAGCATGAGCAGGGGCCTGGCTGCCTTCCTTAGCACCACCAAACACCAAATAAGTGAATAAACATTTCTGATAGTCCCCAAGGAAGCAGCCTTCATAAGCTCAGGCCAGGAAAGACTTTTTGGCAGCTAGGAAAAGGGTGAAATGAGGGCCATGGTGGGCAGTCTGGTCCAGTGGACATTTTGGGCCAGTTCTGAGCCTCAGTGCCCTCAAATGGATTGCTGATAATGATATTATGTATTTCAAAATAAGCAGAAGAAAGGGTTTGGAATGCTCTCGGCACAAAGAATCAATAAACGTTTGAGGTGGTGACTTTGCTAATTACCCTGACTTAATCATTACACCACTTACGTGTGTACTGAGACAGTGCCTTGCATCCCATATCTATGTATAAAGACCATGTACTAGTTAGAAACAAAATTAAACTTTAAAATGAAGGGACTGCTGGAGGCCTCCCCAAGATAGCATGTGTGCCCTAGTGAACACAAAATAAACCTAGGTGCTGACCCCTTGGCCAAGCCACTTGAGCACTGATTTCTTGGGGGAATTTTTAAGTCTTTTTAAGATGAATATATACATATATACTCAAATGTATGTGTCCATCCATACATACACATATTATACAACATATACTATGTAGCACCCCTGTAACCAAGCACATAATATACTATGAGTACTTGTCCAGTTGGGCAAATGGGCCGGGCGTGTAGCTCATGGTACAGTAACTGCCTAACACGGACAAGGCCTTGAACCTCATCTTTTGTACAGCATAAATAAACATAGTTAAGTAAATAAATGAATGCAAGAGGTGATCAAAATATAGGGTGAATGTTTAAGTTTTTAATTTTATTACAGTGAAAGAAACGTTGCCATTACTCCTCAGAATCCTCCCCTTTGCTTCCAACACACGTAGCCCACGGTTCTTCCCATTGTCTGAAGCAGTTCTGAAAGTCCTCTTTCACGAGTTCTCTTTATACAGTAACTGCCGTCCAACAGAAAGTCATAAAAGGTTCATAAAACCCTCCAGGGGGCCCTCATCTGCCTCATTCACTGGATCTGGCACAGTATGACTCTGGCTCTTCCCCAAGATCAAAATAATCATGGAAGGGGAATATTTTGAATCAATTCAAGACAGAGAGGCAGCCACAATGGTGCAACTAAAGACACTCGTGACAGAGGACCTTGGGAAGAGCTTCAGAAAGTGGTGAGAAGGATGGGATAAGGGAAGGGGGGGAGTACTTGGAGGTCTTTTACTATAATAAATTTTTAAAAATTTAAACAATCAGGGGCTGAGGATTTAGTTCCCTGGCATAAGTTCCTGCCTGGCAAGTGTGAGGTTGTGAGTTTGATACCTGGTACCAAAAAAAAAAAAAAAAAAAAAAAAAAAAAGATAAACTGGACCTCAAAATTTAAACAATCACCATATTTTATAGTCCCACCTCATAAATCAATACATAAAGTGGTACGAACAGCACCTACAGCACTGTCTCCATTCGGGTCAGGTTTTGCCACTGAAAGAGCAACGAGCAAAAAGTGCTGTTTTCAGAGCATTTGGGACTTTAAAACATGGGTCACTTCCGCCAGTCAAATCAGGGTTGGCTCTGCCTGGTCGCCATGTGCGCCTAAACAGGATGCCCATACAGGCTGCCGACAGGCTGATACTTCCGGGGTGTTCTCAGTGAGCCAGGAGTGCACTCGATGGTGTGGGCACTGCTGACCCGTTTTGTGTACAGAAACCAACGTTCCCAATGGCCAGTCATCTGAGGGCTGGACCATACAATTGATTGTTTCTTTTTTTTTTTTTAAATATAAGGTCAGTGTTCCCTGTCTGTGTGTTGCCCATCTGTGGATTCAACCGACTCCGACTGAAAATATTTTGGGGAAAAACAGTACATGTATATTGAAGATATATCGTATTTTTATCTTCTTCTTCTTCTCTAAATAATACAATACAATGACAGTTTACACTGCACCGGGTATTATAATTACCCTAGCAATGATTTAAACTGTCTGGGAGAACATACATGGGTTTTACACAAAGACTTCATCATTTTATATAATGGACTTGAGCATCCCTGGATTTGGGTATGTTTCTGGAATCGCTCCCATGTGGATACTGAGGGATGATTGTATGTATTTTTAAAAAGTAAATATAATTAATTTGTACATGAATACATTCTTTGCATAGAAATTCGAAACAGTTCAGATTAAGCTAACCATTGATAGATACCCCAGCCTTTCATTTTATAAAAGAGGTCTCAGCTGCAGTAGAAAGGGCTGGCCCAATGCACAAGACAAAGTCCTGGGCATCTGTCCCCCTGCCAGGCCCTTTTTGCCCACTCCAGGCTGCCCAGTTCAGCTCCATCCCCATAGGACTAGGCCACCACTGCCCCAATCGCTCTGCCACCCTGATCCCTGGCACAGCCTGCTGTCTCACGGCACCACACCCCAACTCCACACCTCTGCCCCGCCTGAGCTCTGCTCCCAGGACCTCGGGGCCCTTTCTACCTGTCACGCTTGATTTTCATACAGGCTTTGCCTCTTCTTGGATTTCAGTTCCTTTAGCCACTGGGGAGAAGGCTCTTCTGACCTGAAATCACAAGGTCAGGGAGTCAGCGTGGGTCACATCGTGACTCCTGCGGGCAGGGCTGTATGGTGCCCAACTCTGCACCACTGTGCCAGGGCAGGGGCTGGCCAAGCACCCACAGTGGAAAGATGCAATAGTAACACAGTCAATATGTAAGAAGCAGAAATTCATCACAATGCCCATCAATGGACAGAAAGGTAAGTCCTGGTATATCCATTCTGAGACATAATCTGAAAAAGCTTATCATATAAAATTATTTCACATACCCACTTATTAATCATCCATCCTTTCTATCTCTCTATTCATGTACCAAATCTCTTAATTTTATGTCACCTCAATCAGACCAGAGTGCCCACATATTTGCTCAGACATTATTCTAGCTGTTTTTGTGAAGGGTTCTTTTTCTGGGTGAAATTAACACTTAAATCAATAGATTGAGCAAAGCAATAACCTCCATAGTTGGTGGGCTGTCTTTAATCAGCTAAAGGCATGACTAGAAAAAGACTGACTTCCTAAGAAGACTGGACTGGAACCCCGGGCTCCAGGCTGCAGGCCTCCTCTGTGGATTTTGGACCTGCCAGCAGCCTCCACAACTATGAGCCAATTCTTTAAAATCACCCCCTAATACACACACACACACACACACACACACACACACACACACACACACCCGTACCCATATTTTCTGATCTCAGAAGAAGCTCCCGGCCCCCAGCCCTAGAGAGCTCAGCAAGTTGCTGACCTGGTTAGGAGCAGCTTAGGGAAAAGGGTCGTGGTTATTAGGAGATATCATGAGCTGTTCCACTCACCAGCCTGGGAATGAGGACATGAACAGCCCCCGGGCAGATCGGGTATGGGATACCCGACTCCAGCCATGCCTCTTCTGGTGGTGGAGGCACAAGCCTAGGCCCCCAGAAGTGCTGGAGTCTCAGGCCAGGGGGCTCCTCCAGCCACAGAGACATGCGGAGCCACCCTGCAGTTCTGGTGTCTCTAGGACGGGGGTACATGCAGTTGTGCCTGTCTCTCTGATCCTGTCCCTCTGCTCTGTGCCACAGGGACTTGCACCACCTGTGGCTCCCGGAACACCGGCCTCCAGTCCCTTCTCGGTGTCCTCTCTTGCTGCCCTCAGTCTAGCTGAAACTTGTGTGGCCATCTGGCTCAGCAGAAGTACCTCCTCTGCGGGGCTACCTGGATCCCCTGCCATGGGCTTGTGAGGGTGATGAGCCCCTCCTCCGTCACAGAGTCAGACAGAGGACTAGACTGTAACTATTTCCACTGGGCTATGGGTATCTCTGTAGCTGTCATGGGGAAGCAGCCACAGACATTATTGATGTGAGTGGGCGTGGCTCTGTGCCAGTGAAGCTTTACTGGCAAGTCCAGATGGTGGGCTACAGTTTGTCAATTCTATTCTATCTTGGTATTTATATCACAACCCCAGTATTAAAAATAATTCCTAATTTTATGCACTGACAGAACTCAATATAAGAATTTCACTCTCTGTGCAGCATATCTATACACTAGGCACTGCATACTTCATCCTCACAGCCACCCAGGAGGGCAAGACAGTTTATAAACCCATTTCACAGATGAGGAAACCAAGGTTCCTAGCCATTTAGTGGCTTTGTAAAGCTGGACTCCATGCAGGGCTGTGTAACTTTAGAGCCTATGCTCATGACCTCTAGCCCCAGCTGAGAGCCCTGTGGTGCAGGGGCTGCGCTGAGGGTTGCTCTGCATTGAGCAGGCCGAGCCTAGGCACAGGATGGCTGTTCCACAAAGGGCGGCTGGTCAGAGCCAAGTTTATCTCTTTCCACCTGGCATACCCTTGGATTGTCCTTCCCAGGTCTCCCTGATTTTCCTGAGACACAGGTGCTTCCCAGGAGGATGAGTAGGGCTGGCGAGCCTCAGTTTCCTCACTGTCTGCCCCACGGCAGGAGTGCCTTGGGTTTCTGTGCAGTGTGCGTATGGGGCAGGGGGGAACCCATGATCCTGGCCTCTGCGCCCTCCTCTGGCATAGAGTTTAGCTGTCAGGATGTAGACACTGGAGGAAAGTCAGCGGAGAGGGGCTTGTCTGTCCCCACACCTCTCACCTCTTGTCCTCTGTGCTGGAAGGAAGCACTCGGCTGCCCAGCACCCCAGGCTGGAACACAGACTTGGGGGTCTTGGGCTGGGGGGTCCAGCCAGGGGTCTCACCAGGACTTTCCACCTCTGGCTTCTTCTGCAGTTGAGCCTGGGAAGATAAGAGCCAGGATTAGTGGTCTTAGAGCATCTTCGGAAGGGCTCACTCATCAACAGGGCCAGCTGCGGAAGCCTTCGGAAAGCAACGGCCCTGAGGAGGCTGACGGGGCTGAGGAGTCGGGCCAGGCTGGCATCCAGGTTCAGGACCCTCAAGATCAGCTCCATGACTATGGTGCCCTCTACCTTCCCGAGGATGTGGATGGGGACAGCAGCTCCACCCCCAATGGAGTCGGCTCTGCTAGCTTCTCACCCCTGCATCTTTAGGAAAGGAATAAACTTCCCTATTGTCCACTAGGTTCCTGTAATGGTTGATATACTGTGTCCACTTGAGAAGTTTGGAAGGTTAACTAAGCAACTCAGCTGTTCAAGCTCCAGGATGTTGTAATGGAAGATTCATTGCCTAAACTTGAGAAGTTTAGAAGGTTAACTGACTCAACAGGGGGCCAGGTCCTCACTTTGTACACATCCTAAGCCTGCAAGAGGAGGGCTGGGAGATGGTACGAGGGCTACACCCACCTGGAGAGGGGGTGGCCTGCTTAATACAAGGGAGGCAAAGAGGGTTGCTCTCTCCCTTCTGCTCTCACTGCTTTTGCTGTCTTCTGCCGCCTTGAATTGTTGCTCCTGTGCCATGCCGCCCTGCCTTGGAGCCAGCTGACTATGGACTAAAACCTCCACAAACTGAGAGCTAAATAAACCTTTCCTTCCTTAATTTTGGATGTGAGCTATTTTTTCTCAGCAGTGAGAAAAGTAACTAAGACAGTTCCCATGGGCAAGTGGTGGGCAAATGTCACATTTTGGAGGGCACTTAAGATGTATGAGAGGGGCCGCAGGTTAGGGGCCACAGAAAGACAGAAAATGGAGATGAAGCGACACTGGGACACTAGTGAAATCCAAATAAATTGCTAGTTCCCTGGTTGTGACCATGTGCCACAGTCATGAGGGAGAAGAGTTAACTAATGATGGATGGATGCATGCTGCATGGGGAAGGGGGACAAAGGAGGGAAGAGGAGAGGGGGACACACCCACCCACAGGGTGGCCCTGGTACCTTCAGGACTGCCGGGTCCATGCCTGGAAACACGGGAACCCTCTGAGGCTGGCTGACTGGTGTCCTCTCTGTCCTGGATGGCGTCTCTTCTTCATCAGACTCTTCTCTCCTGGGCAGTTTCTCTTCTGTTGCAAAGAAAAGAGCGTTGAAGTCACTGGCAGCTGCCGACTGTGGAGCCCCACGTGCTAGACCCCTTGCACATGGTGGGCATCTCGGTGCCTCTCCTGCAGCCTGCAAGGCCTCCATCCCTGGGCTCAGCTCTCGTGCAGGAGAGAATGTCACGCTCTCTTCCTCCCAAATCTGCCAGGAGACGAGACACCAGGCAGAGTGGGTTTTCTCCTGGAGGAGGGCATGTGGAGGACGGATCTGAGTTCTGGGCCCTGGGCCCATGTCAGGATGATAGAAGGAAGTCCTCCATGAGCACAGGAAAGGAGATGGAAACATGCTCAGTTATTGAGACCCCGGGGCTGTGCCCTCTGAGGACGGGGTGAAGAGCCTTGTGGGCCTCATGGTCAATGTCCTCCAGGAGAGGAGGGCAAGGAGTTGCAGTCTCCTAGAGGCCTGGGCACATGTGCCAGGGAGATGGTGGGGGACCCCACTCAGCAAGGCCTAGTCCTTGGTTCCTGGGCTAAGTAGGAAACTTGGCACATGAGGAAGGGCCAGTCCCAGGCTCCCTGGTCCTGGGGGCCCCTCAAGTCTGGTAGAAGACAAAAATGCTACTGCCAGGGCCACACTGGGGAAACTCTGTGCCTCTGTCCCTACTATGGTCTTCATGTGTTCCAGGCAGCTTGGCATACGAGATGTGATCTAAAGCACCGTGAATGCTTTTTTTTTTTTCCACATTTACCATAGTAAAAGACACGCTGCCATTAATCCTCCTTCCAACACATCTCCCGTCACTTGTGCCACATTCTGAAGCAGCTCCGGAAGTGCTCTTTTGTGAGTGTCTTTAATTGTACTTTCTTTTTTTTTTTTTTTTTTTTTTGTCTTTTTCCTTTTTATCGGTACCAGGGATCGAACTCACGACTGCCTGCTTGCAAGGCAGGTGCTTATGCCGCTGAGCTAAATCCCCAGCCCCTTTAATTGTACTTTCATGGCTGCCTCAATGTCCTGAATCCATTCAAAACCTTTTCCTTTCATGGTCATTTTTACTTTGGAAAAGAGACAGAAATTACACATGCCAGATCCAGCATATGAGGTGGTTAAGGACACGCTGTAATGTTTTTGGGAATTGCCTTTTGTTGGGTGACACCTGGCGGCAGCACTCTCCATATTTTTTACTATGCCTCATAAAGTGGCAGGACAGTGGGATAAGTGTGTTTGAACTGTGTGTGCCTGTGTGTGTATGTGTGTGTGTGTGTGTGCCTGTGTGTGTGTGTATTCTGGCAGTATGTTTCCTAGTGTAACTTTAAATATAAGCATTCACTGTATCTTTTGGTTGCCCCTTGTAGCTAGTGCAGGAAGTCAAAGAAGCACACAGGGAGACATCTCACTCACACAGGCACTGAAGCATTTTCTTTAAGAACAAAAATGGAACGGGAGAGGGAGATATAATCTTCCTAGGATTTGTTAGAGGTATCTGGACAGAAGCAATGGACTTTTATTGACTTCAGAACCTTGTTTGATGTCCTTTTGTTTGCCAAGGGCAAATCTCAGATAACTGAAAACAATAGCTTTTGGGGGATGAGAGCCTATATCTGAGCTGGGGGTGGTAATGTACACTTGTAATCTCAGAACTCTGAGAGGCTGAGGCAGGAGGATGCTAAGTTTGAGTCCAGCCTGGGCAATTTAGAAACTCAGGGAGATTATCTTTAAAAAAAAAAAAAAAAAAAAAAAAAAAAGGTCTGGAGATACAGGTCAGTGCAAAGGCCCTGGGTTCTATCCCCATTACCCTGCCCCCAGCAAATGCTGTCTGTGTGTGGGGGTTAGCTGTCATAGTCCCCATTGGGGAAGAAGCAATTTTGCTTCCTCTTAAAAGCTTTACAGTTGAGGGGCTGGGGATTTAGCTCAGCAGCATAAGCATCTGCCTTGCAAGAAGGCGGTCGTGAGTTTGATCCCTGGTACCGATAAAAAGTTAAAGTTAAAGTTAAAAAAAAGCTTTACAGTTGAAATCTAACTCCTTAACAAAGGACTGAGGAGTGAGCTGGTCCCTTCCTCTCTTTGGAGCACACATCTCTGATTCCCAGCTTGAGGGGTTGCTGGGAGATGCCCCTGGCACACAGAGTGCTCTCTCCACCCCTCTGTCCATTTGATCCTGGAGGCACCTCTGCCTGGGACGTCCCTTCTTGTATGAATCCTTATCTGCTGTGAGATGCAGCTCAGATTTTGACATAGATTGTGGCCAAAGCAGTCCTTAGAGGAACATGTGTAGCTTTTATTAATGTATGAGAAAACAAAAAGACCAATAATAAATGGAAGAGATTTCAACCCAAGAGTGCAGGAAAAGACCTGTAAGCCAACCTAAAGAATGTAAAAGGGTGAATTTAACAAAGATAAAAGCAGAAACAGCAAAACCTGATTGTGTCTCTGTACTTTGTAACATGCGGGATCCAAATTATCACCCCTCAAAATGGTTCCTTTTAATCACGGTTTCTGATAAGCTCTATAAAACAAGAAACCAGTTTCTTATGTAATTGCGTCCAAGCACGAAAGCCTGCAGGGCTGGCGCATTCTTCTTCCCAGGATCTGCCTCACGCCCCCCCGCTGCTCTGAGGGCCTCAGGGTGGGGTGAAGGCGCAGGTGTCCGAACCTGTTGAGTCCTTGAACATCCAGGTGCTGTCGTTCTCCTCCTCCAGAGGGGACCGGCTCTCCGACTCGCTGAAGCGGCTCCGCCGGAGGGAGTGGGAGATAGGACCCCGGCGGCGGCTTCTCTTGCTGAGCTGCACTCGGCTCTTGAGAGCACTGGAGTCCAGGACTGAGGTTTGCTTCAGTGATTGGAAAGAGGAAGAAGATGAAAAAGAAAATGCAAGAGAACCGTTAATGGAGGGCATTACCTCTGGGGGTGTACGCAGCTTCCTTGATTGGTGAGAGGTTATTAGTTAGCAGGGCAGCCAATGTTTTACATTTTATTTTATTAATTCATTTTTGCCATACTGGGGATTGAACCCTGGGCTTTTGCACTGAGCTACATCCCCAGCCCTTTTTTGATTTTTGATTTTTGAGATACAGTCTTGTTGACTCACTAAATTGCCCTGGCTTGACTCCCAACTTGATCCTCCTGCCCAGCTTGTCAGGCATCTACCTAGGGGTAGATTTAGGGGTGGTTTCCTAGACGTGGAGAGTGGCAGGGGCTGGCCAGGACAGGGAGATGGCTCTATATCCATGGAATTGCTGCTCTGGTGGCCTCAACCCCAACACCGCCCTAGGAGATCAAAACCAGGACAGGCGTGATACACACCAAGCACAGGATGGTGAGCAGTTAGACCTTTGCCAACATTTGGAATTGATCTGTGGCCACTTCAGATTCTTAATCTGCAAAATGGGCAGGGGATTTTGCGTCTTGGGCTATTAGTGTGCACTGACAGTGACAGTGGCCAGGCCCCTACCAGAGCCAACACTGTGTGACTGGTAGCTGTTAACCCTGGTGTTGTTGCTTATAGTGGATGCAGAAAAGAAAACCTTAGTGTTCTGGAGGAAATGTCCAGCATGATATGCTAGGGCAGTGACATCACACTAAGCCACAGCGATGCTGGGAAACCTGGAGATCCAATAAATATTGAATGAAGAGCTGAACACAGCACCTAACTTAACCCTTACAACAAGAGAGGTGGGCAAGAGTAGATGAAGACAGGGGCTGGGGATTTAGCTCAGCGGCATAAGCGCCTGCCTTGCAAGCAGGCAGTCGTGAGTTCGATCCCTGGTACCGATAAAAAGGAAAAAGACCAAAAAAAAAAAAAAAAAAAAAAAAGAGTAGATGAAGACCCATCTTGCTTCTCTCTGTCTCCATGCTTATCTGTCGGTGCCCATGAGAGAGCCTGGCTGTGTGCAGAAGGTGGAGCTGTGTAAGGTCCCAGAGGAAGCCCCAGTGGGGGAACCTAACAGCTCCCCTAAAGGGTATTTGTACAGCACTGCTCCCAGGAGAGAGTGGCCTTCTAGACACTACAGATCTGCCCCTCCAGCATGGGAGGAGAATAATGACACCTGACCCTATGTCTCAAAGACCTGATCCCTGGAGTGCGGCTTTGCAGTAGGATGAACCGGCCGGGCCTGGGAGGGGTCTGGAGCAGAAGCCATCTGACAGGGGCACCTGGCATCCTGGGGTGGGCGAAGCTGAGTCCTAGAGGCTGCCTCAGGCCCCCCACAAAGGGTGCCCAGGCCTGAGGGCCTTCCCTTCTTGCAGCATGTATCAAAGAGAGCCCTGAATGCTACAGAGCAAAGCCTCAGTGGCACTGCCCAGCACACCCAGGCGTCACACTGCAGGTTTTACATGCCCAGGAAGGAAACCTCAGGCCGAACTCCAGGGCAGGAATCAGACTTCCTGCCTACCTGGCAGGTGAGGCTTTAGCTTGGCTTTAATCAGAACTCATGTGATTACATGTGAGGTGTGGAGTGAAGAAGCTCAGGCCCCACGGGCTGAAGACATCTGCCCTGAGGCACGCTTCTGGAAGACACCTGGCTGAGCTACATGCATACATGGTCCCCTCTCAAAGACTGCACTCTGCACCCCGGCCTAAGAGCTGAGCCCTGAAGGCAGGTCACAAGGAGACACTGGAATGCCCCTAAGATGAAAGGACCGGCTGGGTGTGGGTGCACATGGCTAAACCGGAACTACGCCCAGGCTGATGCAGGAAGACTGCAAGTTCAAGGTCAACCAGGGCACCTGGTTGGAGACCTGTGTCAAAAATAAAAAGGGCTGGGGGTAGAACTGGTACAGTGACCCTAGGTTTGATCCTCAGTATCGTTTAAAAAAAAAAAAGCCACGAATGACTGCTCCCAACACTCCCACCCATGAGACTCACATGGATGAAGGAGAAGTCATCAGTTCCCTGGGGAGGGCCGGTGTCCTGTCGGGGCAGCGCCTCTGTCCCATCCGTGGAATCCAGCTCAGAGCTGGAGTGGTCTATGCTGGCGCTCTGCTGGTCCCCGGCCGAGGTGGGCTCCGTCTGGGAGGACAGGGACGACAGGCGGCTTCCGGGGGGCTGTTTCCGCACCGAGGTGGTGCTGCTGTCGGGAGACGGAGACTCGGGGGCCAGGCTGCAAGAAAGGAAGGGAAGGGAGACACCGTGGTGGGGACCCAGACAGGCTGCGAGAGGGAAGTCCACATGGGCGGCTCGCAACACTTTGGATGAAGAAAAGAATGCGATGTGTGGCTGATAACTTTTCATGTTAATTACATGCTGAAATGAGAGTCTTTTGGCTCCGCTGCTTTTGATCAAACTCATTTCAATTAAACTTGTGAAGTTTAAAATTAATCCATTTGCTTTTTTTTTTTCTCTTTGGATGTGATCACTAGGACATTTTAAATGACATCATGCCTCTTGAGTGTATTTCTGCTGCCCAGCGCTGAGGTAGAAAAGATCACTATCAGCAGGAGCGGGGAAATCTCCTGCACTGTTCCAGTGGCTCAGTCAGTGAAGATTTACTGAACACCTACTGTGTGCCAGGCATTGTAATAAAATGGCATCATCTAAACCCCTCTGCCATCCTATGGGAATATTTAAAACTCTACGGCCCCTGTCATACTGCAAGGTAGGAGTAACTCAAGAAATTGAAGATCAGGAAACTGAGGCACAGAGATAAGACACTGAGTGTCCAAGGGGGCAGAACTGAGATGAGCCAGCAGCCAGGCTGTCCGACTCCAGGAGCCGTGTCACAGGCCCTCTGCTACCCCTCGATTCTCTGGCCATGAGAACATACTGAGGTACATTCAGATACGCAGAACCACACAGGATAGAAAACTGATTAAAAAAAAAAAAAAAAAGTCAAGCCATTGGCTCTTCCCTGCCAGCACAAACACATGCACACCCAGCCAAGCCTCCAAGGCCCAGGAAACTCCTTCCCTGAGGAAGGCCAGGTGGGCTCCCCTGACAGATGGGCCCAATCCGAGGGACCCCAAAGCTTCACCCTGGTACAGCATCGGGGTTTTGCAAGGCTTTTGCGAGGTCTAAATTGATTTCCCGACTTGAAAGAGGGAGGTTGTAGAGGGGATGGGGTGGTCAAGAGGCAAATCCAGAGGCCGAGGGAAATACCACCAGCAGACAGCAGAGGGCAGCACAACCCAAAGTTGGGCACAGGGCTCCAAGTAGGGTCGAGAGGCGCAGTTCCGCCGGGAGACAGCAGAAGGCGCCCGCCACCAGGAGCACCCAGGTGGGACCAGGTCGCACCCATCTGATCTAAAAGCAGGGAGCTGGGTCTGGAGGCAGGAGGAGAGCGGGTCTCACAGGGGTGCTGCAGTGAAATTTAAGCTCATTAACACTTAGATTCCACAGGTTAGGAATGGGAACAGAGGTTTGTAGGTCCCACCCTTGGCTTCTCTTTTTCCTACCCATTCCTGGTTCCATCAACTGCATCTCGAGCCCCACTTCCCCAGGTGGGGTGTGACAGGGAAACAAGTCACAGAGTGACTGGCTTGGTAAGTGGCCCTTTGGGGTGCTCAGCCCTGGGTCTCTCTGACATCCAAGACTTTGCCTGGAGTCATGGAGCCACTGGCTGGCAAAGGCAAGGCCTGAAAATAGCCCAGGTGGCCCAGATGCAGCCACTGCGCGCTCATCCACCCGAGAGGGGAGTATGTTTGAAACAAGTATAGGGATGGTACACAAAGGCTCCCAGTATGTGCCAGTCCTCACTGCTGCATGAGCTCCCCTTCAACCAGCCCATGTGCCGGGTACTTTGGTTTTCTCTGCTGCAAAATGGGTAACCGAGTGTGGAACATCACTGTGCTCAATGAACGCATGTTAAGTGCTTCTGACAGTGCTGGGCGCACAAGCCCAGTAAACCTTGGCTGACTTCTAAGGATCATTTCCTTTCTGTGGAGAAGGGAACTAATTGGGAAAATAGCTCATCTACTCAAGGTCCCAGGCCCAGTTAGAGTGGGGCTGGGCTCACACCAGCCTGCTCCTGAATTTGGGTTATGCTCCGCAAACTTCAGCCCTTAGGATCAGGCAGAATGTGCCTTCTGGTCAGGCTGACATAGGGGCCCCACCAGCGGTGAGCAGTGGAGGTCCCACATACAGGGGTAGCCTCATGTGCCTTGTGTGCACTTTGTGTCTACACCGGTAAACAGACACACACGGAAAGAAGTCTAGGAAGATGACAGAGAACATTACTGAAGGTACGTCTGTGCCCTGGGTGACGGGCAGTTTGCGTTTCTTTTATAACTTTTATAGTGTTAATACACACAGTGCACAGGCCACCATGAGTGATGCTGACTACGTTCAGTGTTCTGCAACCATCATCAATGCCCAGGACACGTTCATTACCCCAAAAGGAAACCAGTACCCAGGAAGCAGTGGTGCCCCAGGCTCCCAACTGTATCTCTCCCTGTGGATTTGCCTATATCAGACAGCACAGATGTAAATTTATGTTTTATAATGCAAGTGGTTTCCTCATATGACTACAAAGAGGCTCCTGTGACATAGAAATCACATCAGTTGTGGCCCAGATGCCCTCATGGCAGCAGGAGACCAGCCCGTGTGCCCTACCTGTCCGCACTCTGGCGCTGCTCTGCCCATGTCCCATACTGGCCGTCCGCTTCATGCACGAGGGTGTCAGTGTCCTTGGCCTCAGCGGGTCGCCTGGAGAAGCACTGCTTCAGCTGGTCCTGCAGGGGCAAGCAGACAGGAGAGTCCATCAGGGAGACAGCCTGTGCCCTCGGAGCTGTGCTAGGACGTCCTGGGAGGCAGGACTTTGCATGCTCTGATGGGCAAGCTGGGATGCTGGGATCCCAGACTTGGTCCTAGACCCCTGGGCATCCCCAGCCCTCTCCATTGCCAGAGCAGCCTCCACCTCAGTGACCCTAAGTTCCCTCACACTCCCAAGTGCATCCCCACCCCACCACACCCCTGTGCCTCCACATCACTGTCACCCAGCCTGTCTCCTGCACAGCCCTGGCCTGGGGTATGGGGTCAGGTAATACCACTGACATGAGGTCTCCTTGTTGGATGATGGTCTCACCACAGTGCTATGAGGTGGCTCTTACTACAATCCCGATTTTGCATTTGAGAACAGGAGAGGCTGAGAGATGCAAAGGGGTATGGTGTCCCAAATCAAAGAGCCAAAGAACAGCAAGGAAGAATTCAAAGGCTGGCAACAGCCTTGAAACTCAAGGCTACCCACTGTACCGGGGCAGCCCTGGCCTCTCAGTCTCATTTTCCGGTCAATTATCACTCTGTCTTTGGCCAGGGTCCTCAGAGCAGGTGGACTGGCCCTGCGGGGAAATGGTGTCCAAAATACTGAGGCTTCTACCTGCTCCTACGCCAGGCTGCAGAGGTATGTATGGGATTCAGGCCTGGGGACCCACATGCAGGGGCATACCTTTGCCATCCAAGGCCAGACCTAGAGTTTCTAAGGACAGCATCCCTGACATCTTCTTCAACCTCACTGCCACACTGCACCCATCCTCAGGCCTTCGAAGCCTCCTTCTAGAACATTCCGTCCAGCAGAAATCAGCTTCCCACAGCACAGCTATCAGAGCATTTCCAGCCCCACAAAACCTCCTACTGGATGGTACTGCTTACAACTTTCCATGGCATAGCAACTGTGACCGACTATCTTGTCAGTCTGCCCTTGCCAAGCCAGAATAGCTGCATCTGAATCTAGGTTCTGCTTCATATGCAGTAGCTGTGAGGCCTGGGACAGGTTCCCTAACCTCTCTGTGCAGACAAAGCAGATGTTAATTAAGCATTATGGCGAGGGTCACTGCAGTCATGATTTTATAATACAGTCCCTCAAAATTGCAAGTAGAATAAATAAGACACACATATGTAAACATTGTATTGTCTCAGTAGTTTGAGAAGCAGAAAGTAATAACATATGTGTATGTGTATGTATATGTATATTTAAAAAAAATAGTTAAGGCAAAAAAGAAAAAAAAAAACACACCAAAATTGCAAGTAGAGCCGGGACCAGGGTTGTCTAAGGGGCTTCACTTTGCAAATGACTTAAGCACAAGAGCTGTTTATGGCCCCTTCTCTGGCAGGTCTTCTGGTAACTCTGTGTGCACTGAAAGTCTGATCTATGTGTCACTACCCCAAAGGGCCTGGCAGGACTTCAACTCAGCGACACTTACTTGAGTTCTCGTAGCCCCAGGACCTCAAGCTCAACCACCAAGATGAGCCTGAAACTCCTAACACTTTCTGCAAATTTGATTTTTGCAGCTTGCTTTAACTGAAGGTTCTGCTTTAGTTTTGCCTCACAGGCTATGACTTAAAAGCTGACTGGCCACAGGTAGGTAGACAGCTTACAAGGCGGCCGGAAAATGCACGGGGCGAATTAGAAGGCGGGCAGAGAACTGGGGTCCACACAGACGCCTCCCCTCCATCCCACCTCAGTGTTATCAACCATCAAGTGAGGACAGTGGCATCCTAGAATTTAGACCTAGGAGGACCCTCAGGGGAAACTGAGGCCCAAGAATGGGACAGCCCGATGGCTCTCGCTTCTTGGGCTGCAGGAAGTGAAATGCAAACTCTGGGCTCCTTCTCCAGGGCTCCTTCTCCAGGGCTCCTTCTCCAGGGCTCCTTCTCCAGGGCTCCTTTCGGCCCCTGGCATTCTAACCTCCCCACCTTCCCATGATGCTTCATGGCGGGAAACATACAGAAAAATGCTTTTAAAAACCTCAAGCCCTTGGCAGGCTTCAAGCCCACTTGCTTGGGCTAGTTGAGCCACTGTGGGTGGAAACTCTGGCCAGTGCTCCAGCCCAGCATGATGATGGCCCTGGCCCAGCCCCTGAGGGGACAGCTCGGTGATGGCGGTGCTGGGGCACCAGGCTAACTGGAACCTTTAAGGACCTTGTTAGAACAAGTTGTAACTCAGAGCCCCAAATTTAAAATGTACAAGTTTAGTTGACATGGCACTTATCTCAAGGAAATCATTAGACACGCTTGCCAAGATCCATAGTGCAGATGCTCCTGGCAGGATTGGTTTTCATTGCCAAATATTTGAAATGACCTAAATAGCTAATAAAATGGCATACAAAAGCCACACCATGGAGTAGATGCATGAAGGAAAATGACATTCATTAAGAGTATTTTTCTGTCACAGGAAGATGTGTGCTGCATACTGGCAAACGTTAAAAGAAAACAGTTAAAAAGGTATCAAAGGGTGCATGTTGTGAAACCAGTTTTGTGAAAAATAAACAGACACATGTCAGTATAAGCAAAGAAAAACATCTGGAAGGTTCTGTGACAATTCACAGTGGTGAAACTACAGGCTTTTTATTCTTGGTGTTGACTTTAGTTAGTATTCACATTTATAAACATAGTCTGATAGAATTTGATGCTAAAAGTAAATACAATTAGTACTATCATATATATAGATCATGAGTTCAGTACTTTTTCTCTAAAAGGTCTTTGGGGCTTTGTGGGCCATGAGGGTCTCGGTCCCCATGCTCACCTCCACCACTGTTACCAGCACAGCACAGGCTGGTATGTAAATGAATGTGTGTGGCTGTGTTCCAATAAAACTTTATTTACAAAACAGGCAGTTGGCTAGGTTCCTCCTTAGGCAGCAGTTTGCTGACACCCAACCCCTCTGCATTTGCACCTTTCAGACTGTGGGCTGCAGAGACGGGGCTGTTCTGTTCGTAGCTGAACCTCAGCACGTGGACCGACATCTGGTTTCTCATAGCTGTTGAATGAGTCTGTTGGGAGAATGTGATTCTGCACTCATACTTCCTGCAGCGAGAAGGGGTGAGCTCCTTCACCAGAAAAGGCAGCAGAGCTCGGGAGGGGCAGAAGGGAGAGCAGTAAACCTGTGTCTCTGGGAGCCTCTGACACAATCACCTAAGAAAAGAACCCTGACTCAGGCCACAGGGTGCCCACAGCTGACAGAGCAGTTCCCAGGGGCCCACGTCATGACCCCTCCAGCAGCTCTGCACTCAGCCCCTTCCCACCCCGGGCCCAGGTCAGACCTACACAATGCGCAGACAGTAGAGGTGACGGTAACCAGGGCTGCTGCTGTGCCCATCGCTAAGCAGGGGAAAGCTCCCCACAGGCTGGGGAGCAGGAACACTCATGGGCCCAGACTGGGGCAGGAGACGGAGGCCCCGAGTAGAGATTTAGTTTGTGAGGATGCAGGGTTAGAAAGTGGAGTGGCTGGGGTTCGAACATGGCCTTGTCTGATGCCCAAGTTTGTGCGTCCCAAAGCTGCCACGTTCTCGTCACTGCTGGGCCTTCGGTGACTATCTTTCAGAGGGGACAAGTGAAGGCCAGGCAGAGGAGAATTCAGCACTCAATAAACAGGAAGGCGGGAGGGAGGGAGAGGCGTCAGCTAGGAGGTTGGAAAGAACAAAGGAAGTCGGGGGATAAGGAAGGGAGCCAGACCAGGAAGGCCTGGAAGGGGCCTGGGGCTGGAAACAGAACTCAGGCTCTGCCTCGGAGCCACCAACAAAAGCTTGCAGAGTCCTTTCTTACTGTGTCCCAGCTTGGATGGGGTAGGGGGTTGGCCTCCTCCAGGAGGAGCCAGGCCTTGTCCTGCCCTGTCCGCTGATGGGGTGGGTGGCTGGGCACAGGTGGTGCTTTCAGGGAAAGTGTGGGACGCCACCCTCTGCCCCCTCTCCATGGCCCAAGAGCACCTATGCCAGTGTGGCCAGGTACAGGCAGCATGACCAGGTGAGGCTGGACGTGGCCAGGAGTAGCCAGGTGTGACAGCTCAGGGAAGGGTAATACATTCAGGTAATACAGGTAATACATTCAGGACACACCGTGGGCATCACTCAGCAAGGCTGGAATAAGGAAGGTTATCTCAGGTACCAATAAGGTGCCAAGCTTGGGGTTGGGTGGGGAGAAGGCAGGGAGGAGGAAGGAGAAGCAGAGAGACAGGCAGGTAAACAGAGGCAGAGAGAACCAAGATCATGAAACCAAGCCCAAGAGAGAAGCATGCACACGGGGGCACAGAAAGACACACGGGGCACAGAAGCAAGGAGGTGTGGGTGTCCAAGCCTCAGATGAGGGGGGCTGATAGGCCCACCGGGGTGCGGCTCTGTTGCTCCACCCCCAGGACACCCTAGGGGGCCCCTGCAAGCTCCTGAGTGGGCTCCATCTCCTGCCCCACTGTCTGAACAAGGGACCAGCCTGAGCTGTGGCTCCACTTCCTCGAGGACCTTGAGCCAGGCTCTGCCCCTCTCTGAGCCTCTCAGTCTCCCCTCTTGGTGAGTCAGTGGCCTGGGATCGGAGGCTGTGGTGACTCTCCACAGCTTGCCAGTTAACCTAATGCCCAGTGCTTACAGAGCTTGTGGGCAGGAGCTATTTCCCCACAAGAAGTGTTGGGCATCCTCCCGCACACCAGCATGTGTTCACAGAGCTCACCCCATGGAAGGTGATGAAATGTTGGTGCTTACTCCTTGGGGCTTGAGCCACATCTGTTTCACAGCACTCTGCGGATAGGCCAACAGCAGCTGGCCTCAGCAGCCTAACTCAGAGCTTTGAAGTCCCAGATGTGGAACTGACCAACCTCAATTCTCTAACAGGACAAACAGGGAGGTGGGACAGGTGAGCAGCTCTGAACACCATCTCTGTGATCTACCATCCCAGGGCTAATCCAGCCCTGCTACTGGCCAGTTGTGACCTTTAACCCTCTGTTTCCCGCTCCAGGAAATGGGGCTGA